TTTTTTGATGAATTCTTCAAGAACATTCCACAAATTCTTAAGCAACATCACTTTATTATTTCGTCAGATAAACCTGGAATAGTAGAAATAAAATCAGCAATAAATGAGGAAAAAACAGAAATAACGTTATTAAAAAAAAACAAAATTAATTCATTTCCTTCATCTGCTCTTCCAGCTCCCCTATTAGCAAAAAATTTAACACCGGAGCGACAATGGTATTTGTACAATCAAGTTCGCGGTCATATCCATGATCCAACCAAAAGGGATGAATTTTGTCCATTACCAGTACCCTATCTTACAGTAAAACAAGATTAATAAAGAATTTTTATTGTAAATGGTATCTATAAAACACTACTCTTATATGTAATAATTTTTTAATTTAACACAAAACTAATATATTATATTTGTTAGGAATCTTATTTTTGAATTGAATACTCATACATAAGATGCTTCTTATAAAAATGTGTGCACGATACATCTTTGTACAGTCTAAATAGTAAATTTATATAACATTAACTTAGTATATGATAGTAATGTTACAATCGTAAATAGTGTTATAATTAGAGAAGAGTCTTTTATACTTTTGTTGCCAAATTATAGTTCTGAGCCATAGAATGGTTTCATGTGAGTATTTGCTTATCGAGCGAAGACAATACAGTTTAGGTGTAAAAAACTTAAATAGTTAGGCTACTTAATGCGATTTTCTTTCATTGATCATAATTTAAATATGAGTGTTAAAGCAGCAATGGAAAATGTTGCTCGATTTTATCGAAATAGTATTGGTACAAAGAGAGATATTCAGAGTGCAAATTATTGGTACATAAAATATAAAAGTCTTGTGAAAACTTTTAAATCACCAGATAATATCAATCCTGAACTTAAGAGAATATTAGATGATGATAAATTTAAATTATCTTGGATTGATTATAATGAGTTCAGTGTTATCAGGAAAGAGGAAAGTTTTGTAAATAAGTTACTGTATTTATGATGTACTAGATACACTTTTAAAAGTATATTTTTGTAGTTATATTTGCCAATCTAAAAAAGTCACTCTTGTTCCTAGATAAACGATCCTTTTTATAAATTTCATGTTAATAAGAAATAGTAAAAAAATTTTTACTATAAAAATGTTGTAATACTTATGTAAAACAGTAACGCAGTGTTATCTCAAATATAAGCCACATGTTATACGTACAAGGGCTAGGTCTGCAGAAAGGGGGGAAATCGACAAATTTTCCAAAAAACTTTTTCTGTATAAATCAATTTAGAATAAGATCAGGATCATTTTTACTTAGCCGCAAACTTTAGTTGCACTAATAAAATCTTGTAGTATAGCTCTCTGAAATCTGTATTTTCTTATGATTTATTATAAAACTCAGCATAAAAATTAATTTTCTGAAGATCTTTTTTTTTGTCGATTTTCCCCCTTTCTGCAGAACTGATTAGGAATTTTCGTGAGTGAGTTAATCATCTGATCTATTTTCTGATATCTAAATTTGGTCGGATGCATGTAGATCTTTGTTGTGTTCAAAACACAAATCACGGGTTATCTCATGATTTTGTAAATGTTGATTTCCCCCCTTTTTGCAGAACACAGCCCATATATGTCAATATATATTAAAAAGATTGATACATTTTATAAAGGTTATCATCACAGGTGCAAGTGAATAATTAGATTAATTAGTATAAGAATATATTGTTTTATAATAAACTTAATTTTGAAGGTTTATTTTTGTCGAGTAATAAGTTT